CAGACGCGCGCACAGCACAAAGCCGCAAGCGTTATAGCAAAGGGCTGGCTGGCTGGCTACCTTACCGTTCGTGATGGTTCACCTTCGGTCCATCGGCGGGTCTTGGAGTGTGAGTACTGTACAGTCCAGACTCGTGAGTACGTGTATGAAGGGCCTGGCCTGGATACTCGTTGACTGCATGGCGCTGATGTATGGCGCGACCGAGTCGGGAACCGAGAAAGAGGATCAGGCACCAGAAGAGAAAGTTGGAAGCGTTGACCTGTGCCTCCGCCTTGCCCTGGCATGGCCTTGGTGTCGGTGTCGCAGAGTCAGAGTGTTCCTGAGAGGGTGGATGAGAAAGGAAGAAGCCCTTTGCCGGTAATTGTGTGTAGTACGGTACACCATCGCTTCGCCAAGTCAAAAGTCGTCCGTCGGCTTGCTATACAGTAGTACTAGTAGTAGAGTACGTGCGTGCACTTGACTCCTCTGCCACGATCTCAATTGCCTTTTTCACAATCAGCCTCGCCGACGACTGCAGCTGACGGACCAATGGCAGTCAACAGTTCAAGCCAGCGAATGTGCATGTTGCAGTCTACGTTGGCGATTCACGTTCGCAGACTCGCATACGCAGCGAAAATTACGAATGTGAAATCTATGCGAGTTGCGCAGAGTTATCCGAGAAGCGACGCAAGTGATGCCGCTGCAACAGCCATGAATGAGCGTCATGAGGTCGAGTTGCGAATCATGTCGAGGTGTGAATGGCGAATGAAGTGCAAAGGACAAGTGACAGTCCAGGCGCCTGCAGCAGCAGGGGGGAGCGGAAGGAGAACGCATGCGCCGAGGAGCGCGCGATGATGAGCGTGAACACGCGTACGCGGGCGCATTCGCACGTAACTCACGAATCAGCAGCCCCGCCCACCCACTGTTGAGACTGCTTGCATCGGCAGGGCAGCAAGCAAGGCTACGATACAGCCTGCAAGGCGCGAACCTCTCGCCTGCTTAGTGCCATTTGGCATAGCGCGCCTTGCGGCCCGCGGTCCTTCGGTCCTTCTCATTGCGATCACTGAGGGGGACCAAGCAAGCAGGCAAGCAGTCAAGCAGACAAGCAGGCAAGCACCTCGGACCGATTCAATCAGCAATCAAGGCAAGCAAGCAAGGCTAGCCCGTGCGCTCGTGCTTCTTCCTTCTTATTCACCATGCTGCTATTAGCTGCTCATTGGTGATTCACCCTGTTCCTACCTTCTCCGTTCCTACAGCAGTCTCCACCCTGTTTACTGCGAAAAATCTCCGAATCTCGCTGCAAACATCCGAGACTAGCATCATCCATCTACCACTACGAGACCTGTTGGGTGGAGGGCGGACAGCTAGCGTTGCACTTCTGCGTTCTTCCCGTCCGACCATCAAGTTGCACCTGTGCAATCTCCTTGTTTACTCCCCCTCATACTCGGTGAGCCTCGCATCGCGATTGCAACATCTTTTGCTCCAACACCCCAAGCCCCCTTCCCCTCTTCGTACCACTAATTCCGAGCTGTCCTTGATCTTTGATTGCTCACCGAAAGCACGCCCAAGCCACATTTCCGTGGCCGGTCTTTGGAGAAACACGCGCTACGCTCCTCGTTCCCTGGCACGCCCACTGTCCACAGCGAAGACTGCGATAAGCGATTCATCGTGGTCAGCTTCTCCGCGCCCGTCCACGAGTCGCCTACATTCAGATAAGAGCAGGTGTTGCACCTTCCAACACGAGAGCCAGGACGCTGCCGAGCCTTGCACCAGCGACTCCATTCCCGCTACCTCCCCTGTAGTGGTGCGCGATGAAGTTTGGACGCACAATCAAGACGTCGCTGTACAGCGAATGGTCCTCCAAATACCTACGCTACTCGGAGCTCAAAAAGGATATCAAGAGTCGCATCGCTACCAACGGAGGATCTTGGACAGACCAGGATGAAGACGAATTCGTCGAAGAATTGCGCAAGGAGCTCGACAAGATCTATGATTTCCAGAGAACAAAGGTGAGCGACTGGACTGAACAATGCTGGGTGATGGGTGCCGCCCATCTTTGCATCTTCAACGACCAGCCATGCCGTCTGCGATCAATCTGCTGCTACCAATTGATGCGTAGCGTTATGTGCATCAGCCTGTTCGATGAGCTTGACTAACACGCGCCCCTCTTCACAGGTCGCTGAGCTGACGGAGCGCATCAACAAAGCCCAGTCCGAAGTCCACTTGCTAGTCTCCTCTCGCACCAACTCTGCTTCCTCTTTGCCCTCGCGCGCAAACTCGCGAACTTCTTCGTCGGAGGGCCACGGAGCCAACGACAACGTCGTCTACGCGCACGACGACGTCGGCTCAGACGATGAGTTCGACAGCGATACTGAGGATGTCGACAACTACGAGGAGCGCTTTGTCGAGCTCGAAGAACGCCTGGCGGTCATCATTGCCGACGTCCATGACTTGGCTCTCTTCACCAAGCTGAACTATACTGGCTTCCACAAGATTGTCAAGAAGCACGACAAGCAGACTGGCAGGCTCTTGCGCAAGGAGTTCGTTCAGCATTACCTCTCCGCTCGACCATTCTACAAAGAGAATTACGACGCGCTCATTGTCAAGCTGTCCAAACTTTTTGACCTGGTGCGCACTCGTGGCAACCCAGTCCAAGGCGACTCGAGCGCAGGCGGATCTCAAAGCGCTTTTGTCAGACAGACCACCAAGTATTGGGTACACCCAGACAACATTGTAGCTCTCAAGCTCGTCATCCTCAAGCATTTGCCCGTACTCGTCTTCGACCCTGAGAAGGAGTATCAGCCCGAGGACAGCGCAATCACGTCCATCTACTACGACAATGAGGATCTCGAGCTTTACCTTGGCCGTTTGGAGAAGACAGAAGGAGCAGAAGCAATTCGTCTTCGTTGGTACGGAGGAATGAGCAACAAGCAAATCTTTGTGGAGCGCAAGACGCACAGGGAGGACTGGACTGGCGAAAAGAGTGTCAAGGCGCGTTTCCCGATCAAAGAAGAAAACGTGAACAAGTTCATGAGCGGCGAGTACCGCATGGACGAGACCTTTGAGGCTTTGCGAAAGAAGGGAAAGAAGAGTGACAAGGAGATCGACAGTATGCTCCAGCTCGCAGGTGAGGTGCAGTACGCTGTCTTGTCTCGCGGCCTGGTGCCCGTCATGAGGTCCTTCTACAACAGAACGGCCTTTCAGCTGCCGGGCGACGCTCGCGTGCGCATCTCGCTCGACACTGAGCTTACCCTCGTTCGAGAAGACAATTGGGATGGACGTCGCAAAGCGGGAGACAACTGGCGTCGTATGGACATTGGCATTGACTACCCGTTCGAACAGCTGCCAGCAGAAGACATTGAACGTTTCCCCTATGGCGTGCTGGAAGTGAAGCTGCAAACGCAAATGGGCCAGGAGCCACCCGAATGGGTGCGCGAGTTGGTGCAGAGCCACCTGGTCGAAGCCGTCCCGAAGTTCAGCAAATTCATCCACGGCTGCGCGACTTTGATCGCCAATCGAGTCGATCTGGTGCCCTTCTGGCTGCCACAGATGGAGACGGACATTCGCAAGCCACCCACTAGGCAGCTCGAGATTACCCGGCCTGCATCTCACCACAACTCCAATTCGTCTTCAAGGCCTGAAACGCCTGGATCCACCACCGGCAAATCTGCTGGATTGGAAGGCGTGTACAACGAGCCTGCTTCGGAAGATGAGTTTGAGGGCGCTGCTGACGACGAGGACGACCATCACGCTGTTGCTGCGGCCATCGGCAAGGATCATCATGAGGCCAACCACTTGGGTCTTCAGCCTCACGATCCGAGGGTGCGTGAGATTCGCGAGCAGCGCGAGAAGAACATCAAGGCCCGCCAAGCGGAGCTGGAACGCTTGCGAAAGGACAACCCCGACGCCACCTCGAACATTGCAGCTGCGCAACTAGCCGCTGGAAGCTCCAACATCCGTCTACAGAGTCCTGCAGGGGAGAGCGAGAGGGCAAGACGCTCTCGAGATGCGAACAAGCCGATCGGACGCGACCAGATTCTCGCTACGAGCACCGACTTCGATAAAAGCTACTTCTCAAAGCTGACGCCTGCCAACTTGAAACGTCTGTGGCGTGCCAAGAACTCTCGTGCTGGTGTGCCCAGCAGTCGCGGAGATGATGACGATGAAGAGGAGGATGAGGAGGACCGCAGAGCCCGCTTGGCACTGGAAGGACGGGATGAGGAAGAGCCGCGTGGACTTGGCGCAGGTCCTGCACCTGGGGTGGAGTATGTGACCAATTTCAGAGCGCAGCCCGGCAAGAAGGTGTCGATTCCAGTTCGCATCGAGCCCAAGGTGTACTTTGCCAATGAGCGGACTTTCCTCAAGTGGCTGGAGTTCAGCGTCTTCATCAGCGCTCTTGCCGTCGGTATGATCAACTTTTCGCAACCTGGAGACAAGGTCGGGTTGATAGCCAGCGCCATCTTTACCGTCATTTCCCTCTTTTGCATCGCCTACTCTGGAGCCATCTACATGATCAGAGCACTCAAGATCAGAAAGAGGGAATCCTCCAACATCTACTTTGATGCGCTGGGACCTTCTTTCCTGTGCGCCTTTTTGCTTGCGGGAACCATTGTCAACTTTGTCCTGCGATGGCGCGAGTCGCACGACTCTAGAAAAGGCAGGGGCCTAGTGAACTAGAACACGCAATTCTACAAGCGGTGATCGAAGCGATTGCTTCGATGGAAGCGTATCTCGCGGACGCTACCTCCCCGTTTCTTCGTGTTCGTCTCTTTATCTGACCGCCTCGTCGCAATTTAAATGTCGTTTCGCTCTCCAAATACAACAGCCATAGCGCCAAAAATCGAAAGCAAACAAATTGCGGGCTAGACGACTGGCGTGGGCTAGAGCGCGATGATTATTATAAATTCGTGCTCGTTAGCGTCGCGTGGAGTGTGCCTGGAACTCGCGCTGACTCGCACATGAGAGTGCCAATGCGATCGCATACCATTTTGGGGTTTGGGTGACCATAGATGTACACAGAGAGAAACACGACTGCAACGAGCGCTGGAGATCTCGACGGTGAGCACGATGACGAGAGGAACGTCGCGTCGACTCAAGGCGCGGGTGCTGCTCAGCGCTGCTCAGAGAAGGACATCAGTCCTCCTGCGGCATAGGTGCATCTTCAGGTGGTAGTTCCCGACGACCAGCGCCAGGTGCCAAGCCGGGGCTCCGAACAGGAGGAGGTCCCTGCATAGCCTCGCCATCTGTAGGACTCAAATTGTCCTGCCCCTCAGAGGTGGCCACGACGCCTTGCAATCTGTCCAATAGAGCTCTTCCCTCGCTCTCGTCGTGTGCCTCGCCTGCAGCTTTGCGAGATGCGGTCTCATCTTCCGCTTCATCGTGCTGCTCTTCCTCCGCATCTTCATCGGACTCCACATCTTCCTCTTCCTCTTCCTCTTCTCCTACAGGCTCGGATAGGTCCAAGATTTTGCCCGCGCCTCCGCCCGATCGAGGTACCCGAGATGAGAAATCGTCTTCGGAGCTCGAAGCTGCCTGTTCCTGCGATGAGCTGCTATTTGACGCGCCTGGGAGTGGTGGGAGGCCGTCAACGTCGAGCAAGTCGTACATTGCTACCAGCGCTCGGAAGCGTGCATAGAGAGAAGTCTCGGCCTGGGCACACGCAGGCGCAAGTCGCGTGAGTCTACAAAGTTACTTGCCAGCAACTGGGAGCATCGAGGCCGCCCACCAACGCACCTCGCACGTCACGAAGGCATCTCTGTGGTGCTGCCACGCATGGGTGAAGCATCTGCCCAACCTTCTCGCCACGCTACCAAAGTACCTCAAGCTGGTGGTAGGAACATACGTCCTGCTTGGGAAGTGCCTTGCAGAGTTGAGCAGTGAAGTTGTGCCGTCCAATGTGTGCACAACATAGTCAATGGCGCAGCACTGTCGACCCTCTTCGTGCGATGCGCACAGGTACTCCCAATCTGCTGCTGCCATGCCTGAGCACGCTTCGCTCGTAGTCCGACTGCATGATCGCTGCAACGCTACCAGCCATGGAGAGTTGAAGTCTTGAACGATGCGTCTGTCGTCATTGAAGCGCAAGTCAGCAAGCCATGCAAAGTGGTCCAACTTCGCCCTTTTTCCTTGTCCCAGCCATGCTGTTGCGCTGCCGCTAAACTGACCTCAACTGTTCATACACCCATACATCCGTGTCTACACCAGACTCGTCATGCGGGTGTCCCACCTTTGGTTCGTCCGCCAATCCACCAAACCCGTTCTCGTGGTCATCCATCGCACTGCTCTTCTCGGGGGCCTCGGGCACAGCTACGATCTTGTCAACATCGTGAGGATCTGTTCTGACCAACTCCTCGATGTACTCTTGAAGCTGAAAGGGTCCGTCGTGCGACGAGAGGGATGCTGGGCCGACAGGTGTGGGAAAAGCTGATTCGTACGTCTGTCCTTTCCGAATACGGTGTGGAATGGCAGTTGATGAAACCATCTCGTTGAGTCGCTCAGACGGAGTCACTGCAAGGAGCATGTCGGGTGCGTAGTGGCGAGTTCCGCCCTTAGACAGGGGACGATGCCACTGAGATTCTTGCCGTGTGGCCCCTCGTGATTGCCGGCGATTTCGTCAAAGCTTGGCGTTCCTTCTCGCTTGGGTAGAGGTGCTTGCTGATGCTTGCTGATGTGTGTGACGGAAGAACGGGCGATCGCTGGCTGTGCTCGCCATCAATGCAGAGGCGACTGTACCTCCTCGAGATTAGCCGCGCTTACAGTTCAGAGATTGGACACAAGGTGACTGACTGACTGACTGGCAATGGAATCACCAATCTGAATGGATCCACCCAGACTGAGCCCTTCATTTGGAGCCGAGATGCAGCAGTGCGGCGCCTGCCCCATGCGCTGGTGCAGCTTTCACGGCTGCATGCATTCAGATTCTGATTGTGACCAGATTTCAAAGGTCTCAAAGGTCTTGAAATATTTGTTGATCATTCCAAATTTGAAGTCAGCGAGGGCCAACCAATTGAAGGTACGGTGCATGGGAACAGCCACGTGGTTGCTGCTCAATCCGAACCGCAACGTGCTTTGCTGACCGCGCCTCCACTGGCGGGCGCGCCGGCTGCTCGACTCCTGATTGACTTTGGCTCCGACGATGGGCCAAGCAGCTTGCGCACCCACGACTCGGACTCTTCACACACAGACCCATCTTGCGCCGGCCAGTCCGTCCCTCCTAGAAACGTGGAGTATTGAGTGCCGAGATTCGTGATTTCGAGTTTTGAATCGAGAGGCTTGATTCGAGCCCGCTCGTCATGGGCTCCTCACGTGAGCACGAATCTCGGCGGCCACGCTCGATCCTAGACGGCGCGTACATGTGTGCAGAAGCGCGTCGAAA